GCTAAACAAGATATCTTGCTTGTAAAAAGGTGTAAAAACTGTTAATGACCGAAAGAAAAAAAAATCCAGGAATCACGTTTCATAGGTAAATGAATAATTGAATCCAGTGTTGCCCATGTTCATGTAACCATATTACCTAAAATATGGGAAATTGGGTTGACATTAACTTCAATCTATTATTTATTATTCTTTTTTATCAGATTTCCTAAAGAAAATGTAGTATGGAGAAATGACTGGAAAATGAATGATTTCCAAACAAATATGTAGTAGTGTCATTTTTAGTCTTCATTTTGAAGCTCAAGACTTATACAGGGTTACAGGGAAAGTCATACTGAATATTGAAGGACGTTATTATTCAGGTCATTTCTGATGGATTTGGTCCTACAATATGGTGTCCGAAACTTAACCGTTATGGAGATATTGGATATTAAAGGTTTTTTTTTAAAAAATCCTATATTTTTTGGGTTATTGTCGATTTTTTTGAAACTAGAGCTTCAAAGGTCCGATTTTTTAATGTATCTAGTTAGAAGACATGTCAAGAAATAAAAATAATGAATAAAAACTGAACCTACTTCTAACGGCTTAAAAAAACTGCTCGACAACGGTTATAACTAAAGAATTTTCACCAAGTGTCCTTAACTTTGAAGCGCTTTTCTAAAAAAAAATGTATGGAACTTATTCTGCAAATAATTTTAAAAACTTCTACGTCTCTTTAGCTATTCAAAAAGGTATAACACTTGCTATTAAATTGGCAAAACATTGACCAAATAACAGTTATGGTAGCTGAGGGTACATTTTTAATTTGAGGTAAAAATAGCATAAATACGTAAATAAAACCAGAAAAACATCATCATCATCATCATCACCAGCCTATTAATGTGCCTACTGCTGAGGCACAGGCCTTCCCTATTGATTGAATAGGGAGATTGGGCCATGACCCACCACGCGGGCCCAGTGCGGATTGGTGGGTGCTAACGACTGCAGATGCGGCCGGGACCAACGGCTTAACGTGCCTTCCGAAGCACGGAGGAGCTCGAGATAGTAATTTTTGGTCACCCATCCAATGAGCGACCACTGCGAAAGTTGCTTAAGTTCAACGATCGCAGCCGAACGCGCTAACCACTTGCGCCATCGAGCTGCTCAAAATTATAATTCATGTTCAACATGGCCGCCGCTATTTCTAACACAATATATTCTCAATCTTTTTCTTAAATTACTTTTTACTACAGAAGTTTTTAAGTTCCGCCTCATATCCTCAGCCGCATCAATAAATCCTTTGTCGCAAAATATCGATATTTGCGATCGGCATTATTGATGCGGCTGAGGATATGAGGCGAAACTTAAAAAGTAATTTAAGAAATAGATTGAGAATATGTGTTAGAAATAGCGGAGGCCATGTTCAACATGAATTATAAAAATATTTACTAAGCTTTTTTGGTTTTATTTACGTATTTTTGCTATTTTTACTTCAAACTAAAAATGTACCCTCTGCTACCATTACTGTTATTTGGTCAATGTTTTGCCAATTTAATAGCAAGTGTTATACCTTTTTGAATAGCTAAAGAGACGTAGAAGTTTTTAAAATTATTTGCAGAATAAGTTCCATACATTTTTGAAGTGAAACTTCTTTATCGGCGTTGGAAAAAAATTTACCGTCACATTTTTCGGTTACGCGTCACATTTTTCCGTTACGCGCCATCTTTTTTTATATTAATAGTTGATAGCTGAATGATCACACTGTCGCCGGCGAGAACTCTCTCTACTCGTTTGTAGCTGAGTGACAATAGTTATTAAAGATAAGACTCGCTCAGCCAAACTCGCATAGCGATACTCGCTCAGCGATACTAGCTCAGCGATACTCGCTCAGCAATACTCGCTCGGTTAAGCTGGCTTGGCTGTCAAAAGCCGTGCGCGTGCATTTTAACTCAGGACTGCCAATTCGTTTCTAGTTTCTACTCGCTTATCGTTCATCGTCGGAGGTGGAACATGTACACGCACACATTTTTTTTAAGCCGTTAGAAGTAGGTTCAGTTTTTATTCATTATTTTTATTGCTTGACATGTCTTCTAACTAGATACATTAAAAAATCGGACCTTTGGAGCTCTAATTTCAAAAAAATCGACAATAACCCAAAAAATATAGGATTTTTTAAAAAAATCTTTAATATCCAATATCTCCATAACGGTTAAGTTTCGGACACCATATTATAGGACCAAATCCATCAGAAATGACCTGAATAATAACGTCCTTCAATATTCAGTACGACTTTACCTGTAACCCTGTATACCACTAAAGGAGGACTCCGGCGTGTTATTACGTATGCATTACCTCAAAAGGTTGATTAAAATTTTTAACCGACTTCGAAAAGAAAGAGGTTCGCAATGCGTCATATTTGTTTTTTTTATTGTTGTTCGCGCAGATCTCCGTGATTCGTGGACCGTTTATGATGATTCTTTTTTTGTTTTAATCAGTTTACTAGCGAGATGGCTGCATATTAATTTACTGGAGATCTGATGAGTACTTTCGGAGAAAAACAATGGAACTCCTCAATTACAAACAGTACTCAATGGGTGTTAGTTTATTTTAAGAAATATGAAAGAGAATGCAGGCCATGCCATCTATATTTAGTTGATTTACCCAATATTGAGAAAATTCGATACATTCTAGAATTTCTAATGAGTCCCGACTGTTAAAGTAACTTTGTTCGTTATTAAACAGAATTATAGACAACTAGACTTGTATTTTTCTTTTCTTTTTTTTTTCTCCATTTTAATTTCATTTATATTTTAATTACACGAGTTGTATGTTTTCTTAATATTCTTTTAAAACCCTTCACTTTGATACTTCGTTTGACGGGTTATAAAAATACTTATACTTTTTTTTTCCTCCCCAGTCGGACAAAAAGTAAAATTTTGTACAATTAAAATATTTTCATCTTTTTACTATGTTTGATTGGTAAAAAATTGGCTAACCTAGCAACCCTACAATTCACTCACTCATCAATAGCCGCCGCCATTACGTACGGTGCCTCAGTATTGTCTTAGCCGAAATTCTGTCCGCCTTTTTTTTATACGTCCATGACTTTGATTAAATGTTTATTTTAACCAAGAAACTCGTCTCACAATGTAATACATAGATACTTTCAGATTGTTGGCTGATGGTCTGTGAGGACCAGTGTTGCCAGGTCTCCAGATTTTACAGGAGATCTCCTGTTTTTCTGAAATTTCTCCTGTTCTACTGTTTTTCTACATGAATCTCCTGTTTTTTAGAATACGATTTTCTTTTTTAAATTGCATGTTGAGTTGCATTTTCCGTCATTAAGAATGTAGATAACCTTAATAATTATAAAATAAATGTAATTGTCTAAAGAGAAAATTGCAGTACACCTCTGCATCTACTGTTTTTCTTGTAGCTGTTTCCATACATCTACGGTTTTTTTCTATAACGCCTCCCGATTTTTAAAACTCGGACCTGGCAACACTGGTGAGGACCGAGGGACCACACAATAAGAGCCTGTAGTTTTTATAGAAATTTTCAGACTTTTTCTACAATTGTTTTAGGACTACTACTAAATCCTGTTAACCTGATTTAGTAAAATTCAATCTGGTCCCTCAGTTCACATGCACATTCATAATATTGTAGGCTTAGAGGCCCCCAGAGCCTGCTAATAACTTCTGTGTTACTAACAAAGGTCACATGTTTTAAAATGGATTCCAACTTTTAGGCATTGTAATTTAGGAATATGATTAGAATTACAATATTAACTTTATGATAATGAATAGACAGAAAAATGGTAAAACTAGTTCCTTGTTGACTACTACCCATATTATGAATATGAATAGCAAGAGCGGGGCTCATTGGAAACATAAATCCTTAGGTGAGCGTTTGTTACCAACCATACTTTTTTTTATTTAGTACTTATGGTACTACTTCTGTGCGTCTTGTACGAGTACTTTGGTTGTTAGTCTGCTGGAAGGAACTGATGCGTTTCCGTTATGGTATCAATAGTTCAGTTGTACACATCACTGGACTTTGGAGTACTTTGAGGTTAAGATAGGTACCCAAAGGTTGCGTATAAACAGATTTTTGCCAACACCAAACTACCTAGTAACAATTGATTGTATGATGGAAATACAAAACAGAGCATAAATAAAACATTTCATTTGCAATAATGAGATTTAATTTAATGATAAAATAAAAAAAATGTATGACATTATTCATTAGACTTTATATTTCAAATATAGGTAAATGTATTTTCTGTTATGTTGAGGAGTCTCTCGTGCTTGTAGGGTGTATTGTGGAAAGATGCTTTGTCTCGGACCTGTAGGCAAAGAAAATAGGTAATTTTATATTACATTAATCAAGTCATGGTGGTTCAGATGCACTGCAACAAACTATGTTTACATCTTCAATGACACACTTAACGTCAGGTGATGTAGAATATTTTGCACCTAAAGTTATTACTAAATAGTGTAATTCTTTCTTTAAAAAGAAAGAATAAATAGTGTATGATCTCTTATAAATAAGAGATCATAAAAAGTGCATTCAATTTGATTTTCATTCAGGATATCTATAAAAAAACAAGTCTCACCTGTATTTAAAGTTCAGGTATTTTCTTTTGATATTAATATTTTTCTTGGCCTGATCTTTCTTCTTGTGGTCTTCTTTCTTCGACGGGTACTCTGTACTTGCCTAGTTTTATAATTTCAAATAGTCATTATTCTTCAGGTGGTTTCTTTTTCGTCATTCGTTGCTTACAATGTTGGTCCTCTTTTCTATTTTTGCCAACTTTTCTTTCCAGGTCTTCTTTACTTGCCAATTTCCAAAATTAAGCGTTATTTTATGGTCATTATTAACATCGATTGGGGTTCTTGCTTCGCCTGGTAATTTTTCTTCGCTTGGTCTTCTTTAATTCCTTGGTCATCTTACTAAGTTGGTCATTATAACATCGCTTGGTCTTCTTGCATCGCCTGGTCTTCTTTCCTCGCCTGGTCTTCTTTCCTCGCCTGGTCTTCTTTCCTCGCCTGGTCTTCTTTCTTCGCCCGGTCTTCTTTCTTCGCCCGGTCTTCTTTCTTCGCCTGTATTTCTTTCTTCGTCTGGTCCTCTTACTTCGCCTGGTCAATATATCATGGTTTGCTCTTTTTTATTCGCCTGGTCTTCTTCGCGTGGTCTTCTTTCTTCGCCTGGTCTTCTGTTTTCGCTTGTCTCCTTTCTTCGACTGGTCTTCTTTTTTCGCCTATATTTCTTTCTTCGCCTGGTCAGTATATCATGGCTTGCTCTTTTTTCTTCGCCTGGTCTTCTTTCTTCACGTAGTCTTCTTTCTTCGCCCGGTCTTCTTTCTTCGCCCGGCCTTCTTTCTTCGCCCGGTCTTCTTTCTTCGCCCGGTCTTCTTTCTTCGCCCGGTCTTCTTTCTTCGCCTGGTCTTCTTTCTTTGCCTGGTCTTCTTTCTTCGCTTGGTCCTCTTTCTTTGCCTGGTCATTATATCATCGCTTGGTCTTATTTCTTCACTTAGTAAATGTATCATCGCCTGGTCCTTTTGCTTCGCCCGGTCTTCTTTCTTCGCCCGGTCTTCTTTCTTTGCCTGGTCCTCTTTCTTTGCCTGGTCATTATATCATCGCTTGGTCTTATTTCTTCACTTAGTAAATGTATCATCGCTTGGTCCTTTTCCTTCGCCTGGTCTTCTTTCTTCGCCTGGTCTTCTTTCTTCGCCTGGTCTTCTTTCTTCGCCTGGTCTTCTTTCTTCGCCTGGTCTTCTTTCCTCGCCTGGTCTTCTTTCTTCGCCTGGTCTTCTTTCTTCGCCTGGTCTTCTTTCTTCGCCTGGTCTTCTTTCTTCGCCTGGTCTTCTTTCTTCGCCTGGTCTTCTTTCTTCGCCTGGTCTCCTTTCTTCGCCTGGTCTTCTTTCTTCGCCTGGTCTTCTTTCTTCGCCTGGTCTTCTTTCTTAGCTTGGTTCCCTTTCTTCACCTGGTCTTCTTTCTTAGCCTGGTCTTCTTTCTTAGCCTGGTCTCCTTTCTTCGCCTGGTTCTCTTTCTTCACCTGGTCTTATTTCTTCACTTAGTAAATGTATCATCGCTTGGTCCTTTTCCTTCGCCTGATCGTCTTTCTTCGCCTGGTCTTCTTTCTTCGCCTGGTCTTCTTTCTTCGCCTGGTCTTCTTTCTTCGCCTGGTCTCCTTTCTTAGCCTGGTCTCCTTTCTTAGCCTGGTCTCCTTTCTTAGCCTGGTCTCCTTTCTTCGCCTGGTTCTCTTTCTTCGCCTGGTCTTGTTTCTTCGCCTGGAGTTCTTTCTTCGCCTGGAGTTCTTTCTTCGCCTGGAGTTCTTTCTTCGCCTTATCTTCTTTCTTCGTCTGGTTTTACTTCGCCTCGTCTTTTTTCTTCGTCTGGTTTTTATATCATCACTTCGTCTTCTTATTAATTTGTTCTTCGCTTCGTTTCTTTCTTCGCCCGGTCTTCTTTCTTCGCTTGGTCTTCTTTCTTTGCCTGGTCTTCTTCTTCGCTTGGTCCTCTTTCTTTGCCTGGTCATTATATCATCGCTTGGTCTTATTTCTTCACTTAATAAATGTATCATCGCTTGGACCTTTTCCTTCGCCTGATCTTCTTTCTTCGCCCGGTCTTCTTTCTTCGCCCGGTCTTCTTTCTTCGCCCGGTCTTCTTTCCTTGCCCGGTCTTCATTATTCGCATGATTTTCGTTCTCGATATATATATATATATAACGCGTTTTGATATATAACGCGTTTTAATGCCGCTCAATTGTTAAAATACTATGTAGTTGGATAGTTAGATGCGATTAAAAACGTGATATAATATAAATTGTACTCCTTATGCTATGGGTACTGGTTTTCTTCCTTCGCGTCTCGTCTTCATTATCCGGCCTTTTTTCGCATGGTCATTATATATCATCGCTTGGTCTTCTTTCATCGCCTGGTCTTATTTCTTAGCCTAGTCTTCATTATTAGCCTCTTCTTCATGCTTCGGTTGGTCATTTATCCCCGACTGGTCTTCTTTCATTGCTTCGTCTTCTTTCTTCGCATGGTCTATTTTCGCCTGGTCATTATATCATCTTTTGATCTTCATGCTTTGGCTGGTCTTCTTTTTTCGCCTCGTCTTCTATCTTCGCCTGGTCTTGTTTTCTTCGCCTGGTCATCTATCATAGCCTGCTGCTGTCTTCTTTCGGCTGTTCCATTTCGTTACTGCCTGCTCTTTCATTGCATAAAATTCATTGTACTTCGCCGCATCACCTCTCTGTTAAATGTCTTGTTTAGTTTCTTTTTCTCTGCCTTGTTATCTTTTTTTGCCTCGCCTACATATTTCACAATCTATTTGATTTGTTATCTTTAGCTGGTTATCTTCGTTTGTGTGGAATACAAGTAGTTTTTATATAATTGTTACTTATTTTTATTCGTTTTATTCCATAAAACACTTCTTTTTAAACATATTTCCCTTATTTTCGCTATTTACTCTTTTTTTATTTGTCATCCTGTTTTCATTCATTTTGTTTGGACTTATTTCTTGTCTTTATCTTTACTTTGTCTTTATATCTTAATTTAACTTCGCTTATTTACCTTTATCTTATGTTCTTTTAATTTTTTTCGTTTGTTTTCGTCTTGTTACTCTTGTTATATCATTATATATTGTCTTGTTTCCTATCACATAATTATAATGTTACGCATCGCTCACGTTCTATTTGGTCCATATCAATTTTAAGGGTCTTGGTTCTTTTCTAGTATTTTTTTCGTATCATATTTTAGCTTTAAAAATTATAACGAAATTACCATTTGTACGACTATATCATTTTCCATTGATTGTGATTATGGTACCTGCGGACAACTGTTAAAATCCTACTCACCTAGGCTTTTCTAAATTTCTATGAAAGGGCCTTATTACATAAATTAGTATTCATTGATGTGTAGTACATTGTTTATTCCTTAATATGATGCCTGTGGAAAAGCTTTTAAAAAACTTACCTCTATGCTAGAGTATATAAAATGTTAATGTCACATAACTAAGAAATTATTTGATTTCCCCGCTTACGTTTATTGACGATTATGGGTTTTCTTTTTATTAATTATTGTCCAAAACATTACTGTTTCATTTAATTTTCATTCATTTGGTGAAAGAATTATCGTTCATAAATATGTAACCAATTCTCAGAAGTACGTTTGTTTTCATTCGACTTTACATCACAATCATTTAAGAAGTGCTCTATAGTTCCGGGACCTGAGAATAATGTAATTAGAAACCTTACCTGGAGTGCAAATGGAGGTTAAAAACTAGGTTATTTGTTTGTGGTTTGTTTATAGCTTCTTCATTATCATGTCTAGATTTTTAGAGATGTAACTGAGACTTTTATTACCACAGTATTTGGTATTATTTGAATTCATATGACGTTTATTTTTCCCAATTCAGTTTTCTTTATGTAATTTGTTTGCATTTGATTAGCCAGTTTGTCTTGATATTATTTACATATTCTTATGTTTCTTATTATGTGGTTTTATTTCAAGTTGTGTAGTTTAGGTACTCTAGTAAATTTCTGTTTATCTGGGAATATAATATTAAAATACGCATCCTATCTTAAATTGACATTATTATTACAACACACATTTTATTTGTTAATATTATCTGAAATAAAAAAATAGCCTAGCAAAATACTTACTTTTGAATAAACCATCTGTAAAAAAATAAAATCATAACATAATAGACATCATTATTATTTCAGAGAAATTTTATACTATATTTTCTTTAAATAATTATCATCAAACACCTTTTTTTAAGTTCACACCTATAGAAGTACTATTCTTTAAATAACAACCTTATATGTTCGATGACAATAATCATACGTTTTCTTATGTTTTATCTAATGAACCTATGTCAACTTTTGTTTACCATATCTCCTTTTTTTGATAAATTTAACTTGTTTCTATTTAAATATTAAGTTTCACGCAGTAGCTCTGAAATAAACCTTGTGAACGCAACAAACAAATTCTTCAAATTCAATGTAACAAATAATCATTTAAGAGTACATTAGTACATTGTAAAAAATAGACGTATCACACACACACAGAAATGCAGTACTTATTTCTGAAATAAAGTTTGTCAATACAACACAACACAACTATGCATATGTATAATGTGAGACAACTTACAAACAATTGCTTAGATTTTTCTGAAACAATTCCTTTACCCAGGAAATCTGGCATACATGTAAGTACATACTATACAAATAACCGATACCATTTTGTTACGCACTACTGGAAAGTTATTGTGTGCATATGCAAATGAAATTTTGGTATATACCAAGATTTTAATATTTCAAGCATATCTAAAACAAAATTGTCGGGCACAATTAAGCATGCATTCATATGTAGAATTGTCTTTAAACTTCCCCAGTCCATATTTCAGCTTTCAGTTAGTTAAAACCTTTAACAAAAACCAAACAACATTTCGCATACCTTGTGATAAAAATCTAAGAAATACACAATACAATTACAGACATACTTAGTTTAAATTCTTCAAATTCAATGTAACAAATAATAATATAAGAGTACATTAGTACATTGTAAAAAATAGACTTATCCACACACACACAAATGCAGTACTTATTTCTGAAATAAAGTTTGTCAATACAACACAACACAACTATGCATATGTATAACGTGAGACAACTTACAAACAATTGCTTAGATTTTTCTGAAACAAATTCCTTTACCCAGGAAATCTGGCATACATTGTAAGTACATACTATACAAATAACCGATACCATTTTGTTACATACTATTAGACAAAAGTTATTGTGTGCATATGCAAATGAAATTTTGGTATATACCAAAATTTCAATATTTCAAGCAAATCTAAAATAAAATTATCGGGCACAATTAAGCATGCATTCATATGTAGAATTGTCTTTAAACTTCCCCAGTCAATATTTCAGCTTTCAGTTAGTTAAAACCTTGAACAAAAACCAAACAACATTTCGCATACCTTGTGCATGGACGTATAAAAAAAGGCGGACAGAGTCCCGGTAAACAACAAACTGTGTCGCTCAGAGTCGGCCAGGTCGCTATATGTACAAGCCGGCACACACACATTCACACCATAGTCAGCCATTACGCGTGCAAACGTCAAAGCAGCCGATACGTTAAGTGGAGATAAAAATAAGTTAAAACAAGATGTCTTGCGTGGTAAAATGGTGTAAAAACCGTAGTGACCGAAAGAAAAAAAATCCAGGAATCACGTTTCATAGGTAAATGAACAATATAATCACTTTTTTCTAGTTTTTAGAAATCGAAATCAATTTTCATTCTAAGCACAAAATAATTAATCTAAAGTCCAGTGTTGTCAATGTTCACGTAACCATATTACCTAAAATATGGGAAATTGGGGTGACATTAGCTTCAATCTATTATTTGTTATTCTTTTTTATCAGATTCCCTAAAGAAAATGTAGAATGGAGAAATGACTGGATCCAAGTTATTAGGAATTGTAACGGAGATGATGAATGTATTCCAAATAAATATAGTGTCATTTGCAGTATCCATTTTGAAGCTGGAGACTTATATACTACTAAAAGAGGACTCCGGCGTGTTGTTACGCATGCAGTAGCTCAAAAGGTAAATTAAAAATTTTAACCGACTTCAAAAAGAAAGAGGTTCTGTACGTCATATTTGTTATTTTTTTTTTCAATTGTTGTTCGTGCATATCTCCGAGATTCGTGGACCGATTTTGATGATTATTTTTTTGTTTGAATCAGTTTATTAGCGAGATGGGTGTATTAATTAAGTGCAGAGCTGATGAATATTTTCGGAGGGAAACAATGGAACTCCTCAATTACAAACAGTACTCAATGCATGTTTTGTTAATTTAAGAAATATAAAAAAGAATGCAGGCCTGGCCAGGCATATTTAGGTGATTTACTCTGGCTTATGAAAAGTGGAAAATATAAACTTTTTCATACAAAAATAAAAACAGACTTCATGTTAGTTTTCCAATTACAGAGCATAATGCGACTCAGTGGCTACCAATGCCGAATTATGCTGATGATTAATTGGAACGTGAATTAGTTTTCAAATGCACCAGCAAAGTGCGCTAAGTTCAGTGTTGAAAAAAAAGTGGAATATAAAAAAAGTCAATATTTGTTATATATAATAGTTTGAATTAACTTTGATTATTTAAAAAAACCTACAATGAAACAAAAGTTTTAAAATATTTTCAACGATAAATAATATTACTAACGATAATATTTAAACAAAACATTTCGATCAATGCCAACTTAAAAACAGTGCGTATGAACACAATTTTCGCCTTTCCAGTATCGATCGAAACGGTGCAGTGTGTTAAATTTTTGCCACGG